TAGTGCTCTCGATCCTAACAGTAGCTTTGCAATTAATCATGTTAGATTTTTTTAGTAGATTCATTGCATACTTCTTTTATGAAATCAAAATTCCATCTGAATCTTGCTTTACTTCTAAACTAAGAAAATAGTGGAAAAGATCTAGATATGACATTTCAAACTTATTCATCATGCTTTTTTTAAATTGTCACAAAAGGGTTAGATGAACTCATATATATAATATCAACAATATAAAGGTAAATCATTAGAATATTATATTCACCTTTATTCTTTAGATAAAGAGTAGATTCATTATTGTTCATCTTAAATTCATTTTGATGAAAATAATAATTAATTTTATTTTACCATGCCCTTGTAGCTTATTTAATCACATAAAGAGCTTTTTTTAGCTTATACATATTTTCTTCATGTCCTTTAGCCAAAAAACCTTCCGGGTAATAAAAATCTCTTCATATAAATCTTCATTTAAAAATATAGATTTCACATCAAATTGATAAACAAGCCAACTCAAGTGAGAAGCTAAAGTTAAGAAAGTTCTCACGGTTTCGAATCTAACAACCGGAGAAAAAGTATTATCAAAATCATTACCTTGTTGTTATAAATATCCTTTGATACTTTTGGATACTTCCATCTGCATTATACTTTGTTTTGAACACCTATTTTAATCTAATAACTTTATTTTCTTTCGGTAGATTCATTAGCTCCCAATTTTCTTTCTTCTCAATTAACTTGATTTCCTTCTTCATTATTTTTCGTCATTCGTCTTTTTCAACTGCTTCCTCAAAAGTTATAGGATCTGAAATAAATAAAATAAATATTGAGTCATAAATTTCTATTAGTGATATAAATTTTCCTAGAGGGGTTTCATCTAAGGAATCAGAATTTGAACTGCTATTGGGTGAGGTTGACGATGAACTTATTGGAGAAGAATCTATCACTTGATTTTGTAAAGTATCTAGTTATGTTGGAATCTGAATTTGTATTCCATCTTTATTGGTCTCTTAATTCCAACTTGTTCTTTCATCAAACACAATATTTCTATTAATAATAACTTTGCCACTAATAGGATTATACAATTGATATGCTTTGAATTGTAAAGAATAACCAATTAAAATATATTTTTTAGATTTTTCATTAAGTTTGTGATGATTTTATAAATTTACCAAAGCATAAGCAATACAACAAAAAATTCTCCAATAGCTTACACTTGGTTTTATACAATATCAAGTCTCAAAAGGAGTTTGATTCATAACAACCTTTATTGGTGAAATATTCAACAAATAAACTATTGTTACAACTACTTCTGCCCAAAATTGATTTGGAAGGTATTTTCCTTTAAGCAAACTTCTTGCCATTTCAATGATAGTTCAATTCTTACGTTCAGTTACACTATTTTGCTATAGTATATATGGTATTGTCAATTCTCTACGAATATAATTTTCTTCACAAAAAATATTAAACTCATTAGATAAAAATTTACCACCTCTATCTATCCGAAGTGTCTTTATGTATATACCACTTTACCATTTTACAAGTGCCTTGAATTTTTAAAAATTATCAAATGTTTCATATTTCAGTTCCAGAAAATATACCCAACTCATGCGGCTATAATCATTAGTAAACAATAGAAAATATTGACTTCTACTAAATAATTTTATATTCATAGATCTACATAAGTCAGCACGAATTAATTCAAGACAATTAAATGCTCTCAATGTTTTTTCAATGGGAAATAGTTTTTTACTTTATTGTCCATAAATTCATCCCTATATTTCAAGTATATTAATTTTGGATAATCCAAAAACTATTTTTTTATTTAACAATCTTAAACTTTTAATGTTAAGGTATCTATATTTTAAATGTCATAAATTAGGCTCATTCTTTTAAGTTGCAACAAGAGCATGCTTTTTAATATTTGAAACATCAAGTGCAAATATCTTGTTTTACGTTATGCAAATATTTACCATAATCAAACCAAATTTTTATCTTTAATAGTAAATAAACTATCATCAAATATAATAAAATATCTATTATCTATTAATTGCCCAACACTCAATAAATTATATGATAAACTAGGAACAAAAAAAATATTATCAAAGTATTGTACCTTTTCTTTACTTATCTTCACTTTAATTGTTCATTTCCCTTCCATTTGAATTTGTTTATTATCTCTAAGTCTAACTTTCAACTTATGAGTTTCATCAATATTTTTAAATATTGATCTTATACCTAACATATGATTAGAACATCCACTATTCAAAAATCAAATATCATTTGATATATTATTAACTTATGAATGAGTCATAAACAACTTACTATTTTCTTCATTTTTCTCCGCATTGCTTTTCTCTTTTCTAGTAATCTGCCTTGACTAAACTTTTTATAACAATAACATTGAATTCCACTCTTACAGTTTTTTTTTCATAATTTGATTGCTTTTGTTCATCATGCCTATCAAAGTGTCCTCTTCCTTTTCCATTTCCTCTACCATGAAATCCTCCTCTGCCACATCCTCTTCATGTTGATTTTTTATCTTCTTTTGAAGTAGAAGACTCCCCTTTACTCTGAAATGCTTTTTCTTCATTTTTTTTCAAATGACATGTTCAACCTTGCTTCATGTATTTGCAAGAAACTCATTAGTTCATCAAATGAAAATATAGATAAATATTTTGACTCCTCAATTGTGACAATAACATGATCAAATTTCAGAATTAAACTTCTCAAAACTTTTACAATAATTATATGATCATAAAGATGTTTATCATAAGATTTCATTTGACTAACAATTTTAGTCACTCGAGAAAGAAAATCTTGCACTGATTCATTGCTTTTCATGAATAAAATTTTAAACTCACAATGAAGGTTTTGAAGTTTTATCATAATCGCCTTTGAGGAGTCTTAAAATTCTTTTTAAAGTAACATCTAAGCTTGCTTTGAGATTATCGCTGTTGTAATTTTTAAGAAGATTATCTCATGTACAACTTATTGAATGAAGAATAATACCTTTTTTGTTCTTCTTTCTTTTCTCCCTCAACTTGGTTTCTTTATTTAGATCTGTATATTTATTCTCTATTAAGTCCTAAGATTCTAAGACTTGAATAGAGTCTTCATCTTGATATTCCAAAATTTATAACATTTGTCCGAGAAGATGAGAATAAGAGGTTGAGATATTAAATTACTATTGAAAGCCATAATACTTAGTTCAGATTGAACCTTAGCACTGATACCACAAATATTAGGGATGAAGGAGCAATGAAATGATAAAAAATAGAATACTACGATGCAAATAAAAAGAATACTTTTAATCAAGAAAACTGATATAGTATTTAAACAAAAGGTAAGACAGAATACTTCCTAGGGTCATATTTATAAGACCTAATGGTAACTACCTCACTCCATCATGTCACCCATGATTGAGTTAGGTGTAAAAATTATCTTGTAACTTCTAGATCATGGACCACTACTTAGAATATGCCTATAACTATCTAGAATATGGCAACTACCTAGATAATCACTATGAATTAATTCTCAACATGGTAGAGGAGTCGGGGAAGATGGAGAGGGAGAAAGTTGGGGAGGAGGTAGAGGGGGTTGGGGTTGTGGGGAAAAGAAAATTAATAAATTGATATTTGTGAAGTTATAAATAATAATATTATATTATATTATTTTAACAGGGTTGCCGGTAGTAAAAAAATTAATCAAAAGTGAACTATGATTAACAATCTTCTAAAAATGATTTGGCGAATTTTTTCGGTAAAATACTATAAAATAAATTTAAAAATAGAAAAATAATATTATTTATAACCCTTTTAAATCAATACATTATTTTTGAGGTCTTAAGGTAAAGTTCAATTATATTGTTTTCTAAAAACAAGCATAACCGACTAAATCATAAGTTTTTAGATTAAAGTTTCACTGATATTTGGTAATGAGACTCTTTATAACAAAAACATAATTTGAATATATTTTGAAGAAAAATAAATCAAGAATAAGACAATTATACTATTTCCAAAAGATATCATAACTAATAGAAGTTAATTAAATTAAATCTAAATTTGCTCAAAATTTTCAGAGTGAATCTTCATCATAATGAGGCTATGTGGTTATACTTTTGAACAAAAATTTATCATTGGTATAGCTACACTGTTTTTAGGAAACAGTGCAAGTGAGTAAGTCTTAAGTTTTATAAACCAAACATTATTTATTCATAGAATCAAAAATAAAAAGATTATGATCTTTCCATATACTTAAATGTCCTTGTAAAATAAAGACCTCAATTATACATTTTTATGCTTTCAAGCATATTTATATATTTAAAAATGTTATTCTTTAACAAAACTTATATACACTTAAATTATTTTTTAAAAAACATCGAACATACATTTTTATATATTCCATAATAATATTTTCTAAATTTTATACTTCTAAATATAATTTTGATTTATATACAAGGTAGTCCTTTCTTATTATGGTATATGTTGAAGGGGCTGAACACACCCTTTTTATAAGAAAAATTTTGGAATATATATATATATATATATATATATATATATATAACGATACTAATTATCATTTTCTTTCTCATCATTCTCTTTCTTTAATCTTTCTCATTTATACTTTTTTTAATGTTATATTCTCACTATACAGTGTGAGAGATAGCTAACAGTGGTTGTAGCTTAAATCATATTATAAGAAATGACTCAAAGTGGACATCTCATAAGGACTTTCCATGTTGAAAATTTCACATAAATTATAAAAATAAAATAAAATCATGTTGTCTTCTCCATAACCGATCCAATTATTTAATATGTAGTAGATTCATCAAGCCATTTTACTGTCATATGATCATCTGCCCAATTAAATATATAGGTTGAAGTGCTAGCTAATAAGGTCATTTCAGCACAACTACATCATTTTTCATGGACTACCTGCTTGAATAGGCATGACAAATGTGCTTGATATGTTTAGCAATCACTCGCTGTAAGCTTCAGAATCACTTCTCAGAAAACAAAGTGATTGCCAAGCTTACTCCAAGACATGCAATTAACAAGACAAGCATTTGATGAACCATAAGGCAAATTAAATCTGTCCCACCATTCTTAATTTGGAACCACTAGTGCAGGAATAAGATATAGTTACCAGTCATTCTCCCATCTTTACTCCTGGTACACATCCTGTTTGCAGCATGTAGGTCAAGAAAGCTATCACAAACTTCATGTGTTGATCCATATATGCTCTCTGAATTTGCTCAAATGCTACATGTGTTATCTTCCTGCCCAATCTCACAAGCTTCTTGTGTGGAAGCAATTTGCTGAGAATTCTGGCTCAAATTGCCTGAAATGCAACTCAATGTAGCATCCACTGTCTAAGAAGTTAGAAGGAAAATGAATCAGAGCCCTTACACCACATCAGTTTCTTTGATGACAGTACTACATCCGGTTGTCTTCCATATGTTCCGCTGCTCCATCATTTCTCTTGCCTTCAAGGCCTCGTTATATTGACTGGAAGTTGCATACATGTTTGATACAAGCACATAAACCCCACTCTCGTCTGTTTCCAGCTCTTGCATCCCCTCCATGGCCTGTTCTGCAGACTTAAGGTCACTCCTAGTTCTGCAACCACCAAGGAGAGCTCCCCACACTGCGATGTCCGGTTTATAAGGCATTTCTGTAATCAACGCTTGTGCTTCTTCTAGCTGACCATTTCGGCAAAGTAAGTCGATCAAACAACCATAGTGTTGGATTCTTGGTTGAATTCCAAAGTCTTTCTCCATCGAATTAAAGATCTGTCGACCCTCTTCCACCAGCCCTCCGTGACTACAAGCAAATAATACACTCAAAAACGTTACGCCATTAAGCTTAAGTCCTTTCCTAATCATCAAGTCGAAGAGTTTCAGTGAGTCTTTTATCCTCCCATGCGTCGCAAATGCTTTGATCATCACATTCCAGCAAAATACATCCTTTTCAACCATCTTGATGAAGACTTTGAATGCTGAGTCTATGTCGCTGCACTTGGCATACATTTCTATCAGTGCAGTTCCAACTATGGCTCCCAGCTGAAGCCCATCTCTTATCAAACTGAAATGTATCCATTTTCCAGTCTCCAAATCTCCAAGATGAGCACAGGCGGATAGAGCAGAGACAAACGTGTATCCATCCGGAGCCACTCCCTGTGACTGCATCTGAGAGAAGAGTTTGCACGCCTGCTGATACTCCCCATGAGATGTGTAACTCGATAGCATGCAGTTCCAGGAAACCACATTCCTCTCAGGCATTTCATCGAACAGCCTCCTTGCCGCTCTAAGATCACCAGCTTTCGATAAAGCCATCATCATCGAGGTCCATGACACCACGTCCGTCACTGGCATCCTCCGGAAGAAGTCCAGTGCTCTCTTTTTATCCAACGATCTCAAGTAGCCTGAAAGCATCGAGTTCCACGACACCACGTCTCGCTGCGGCATGTCATCGAAGAGCCTCTTCGCTGACTCTACATCACCAAAACCAATATATTCGGAGACCATTCTGTTCCAAAGCCCTATGGTTTTCGTCATCATGCCATCAAAAACTCTTCGTGCATCGACCAATGCGCCAACTGCAAGACGAGACCGCTCCATCTCGATATAAAAGCTCAACAGCGAACTAGCAACAGAGGCGACTGTGTCGTATCCGGTCTTGATAACTTGACAGTGAGATTTCTTACCGTAGCCATTGTTTCCAAGACGGGTGCAAGAGTCTAAAACATAGGGGTAAGTAAAATTATTAGGCTTCAGCCCTCTCTGAAGCATTTCTTCGAACATGTGAAGTGAGCTCTCGTGAGGTCCACTGTAGGCGTAACCGCGGATCATGCTGTTGTAGAGGAGGACGTGAGGGGCGGCGGCGGAGAAGTAGAAAAAGAGATGCTCGGCGTAGTCCATGCGGCCGAAATCGGTGGCTCGGCGGAGGAGGAGGGACGAGAGGGTCGGAGATCGGAAAAGAGAAGTGGTGATAAGGAGGCCATGAATTTGGTCGAGATGGCAGAATCCGCAGCGGGTCAAGAGGTGGGGGATCTGCTGATGGAACGGCACGGAGGCGGCGGCACACATCTCGACCACTCCGCCGGGACGAACGCCTCGACGTCATGGGTTGGCCATCTGGGTCGGGTTAGCTTACCGGGGGGATCTGCGGGCCAAGTGAGGGCAGAGGGCAGAGGGCAGAGTGAAGCCTTCGTGTCTAAAGTCGGCTAAACAAATCGTGTCGACAGTCGTAGCATTTAGATTGATATCTAAAAACATTTTATTTAATTTATAATACTTAATAATTACTCGATAGAATTAAATAATTGCACAAATAATGAAAAGAAATTATTTTTCACAATATCAGTCACTGCATCAAATAAATACCATTTAAACAACTCCCACTTTTCCAATAAAAAAAACAATTAAAAACCAGACTTTTTTTTATCACTGCATAATTGTTCACATACAAGCAACTCTATTCTACAACACCACACTGCAGCAGACTTGATGAGCTAAAGCATCTGCTACCACAATTATGTTCAGATTTGAATTACCGTGGAAATACAAGCAACTCTACAACACAATGGACTCTGATGAGCTGAAAAGAACTGCTCGTCTTTCTAGAGGAAGACTCGAGATGCCCTTCTTAGGAATATGCCCGGTAGACCGATATTTCGCAGCAGTTTCTTTCTTCGGCTTTGAGGAGATCTTCCCCACGCTTAGCCTCGACCTCGACCAATGCTCTCTTCTCCTCTGCTTCCTCGTGGATCATACCAATCTTCTTCTTCTTATTTTCTTGGCATGTTTGTATAACCGTTATTATTAAATATCTAATTTAATAATAATATAACTGTTCTTCATAATTTATTATCATGAATTTCTTCATTTATTATTATTTAAATTATTTTAATTTTTTATTCTTTATACATGAAATCGTTACTATTAAATTAAATATTTAATAGCATTAAAGTTCTTCATTATGGTCCAAACGTTACAAATTTGAATTAATTCTTGAACGTTATGAATTGGTGATGATAAATGTTCTTGATGGGAGAACATATATATATATATGAAGATTTTGGTCCTTGGACTCAATTATCTTTTTGAAGCAAAAGGGTTTCCTACATCATCTAAAGCGAGAGTTCTGAGTCGAGAAGTGTCAAAATTCAAGAAGAAACCTTTGTAGAAATTCTTGACAATAATAGCTGGTGGTACGCTATTTTATTCCCGCATCAATTTTTATTATGTTTCTATTATAATGATTTAGAAATACAAGTTGGTTTTAGTGATTTCTTACATTTGGTATCAGAGTCTTTTGACCTCTACCTTGATACGAAATAGTTTTTATTTTTATGCTATGAAAATGATTTGATTTTGGTTTCTTTTTGGAAACTTCTTGATATATTTTGTTGAAAATCATGAGGAAATATCATTTTCAACATTTTTAGTCGGTAAAATGCTCATATTACGTATACATATTTAGTCATATAAAATTATGCTTATGAGTCGATTTTTTTATGTTTAAAATGTCTAGTGATCCATATAATCTTAATTATTTAAGAATTAACCACAGTATCCTTAATTAATTAAAATTATATATAAAGTTAAAATAAGGATCACATAAGTAATTAGACATTATATTGTGACTGATTATATTTCATATAATAATTATTATCCCACAGGATCTTTTATTATATTTAATATAATTAATCAGGATAAAATATCAGATTATTTTCATAATTTACCCATAGGGATTATGAATTGGAATATAATTTGATAGTTTTATCATAAAGACCATTTGAATCTATTTGAATTAAAAATTTAGCCCACAGACAATTTTTATGTCATAAGATTCATATTTTTGAAATGTTTCACATTGGTAAAACATGTAATTTAGACTATTAAACTTCAAATTTTGACATAAGCATATTTGATTTTATGCAGTTTCTCAAACTGTTAATTTCTCTGATATTCGATGTGATATTCTCGAACTTAATGGTGATAACTATAAGATATGTAAGGAGAGGATTCTCCTCCATTTAAGGTGGATGGATATTGATTATGCTATTAGGAAAGACGAACCACCAATAGTCACTAATACCAGCACTCCAACTGAGATCACATTATATGAGCGATGGGAGCGATCCAATCGGCTCAACGTGATGTTTATCAAAACTAAGATAACTGTTAGCATACGTGGTTCCATTGACTAGCATGAAAATGTCCGAGACTTGCTACAAGCTATTGATGAGCAATTCATCACTTCGGATAAGGCATTAGCAAGTACCCTAATAATGAGAATTAGCAAAGTAAGTTAAGATCAGATAGAGGTGGAGAATATTATGGTAGATATACTGAAAATGGACAAGCACTTGGTCCTTTTACTAAGTTTCTTCAAGAACATGAGATTGTTGCCCAATACACTATACCTGGTTCTCCAGACCAGAATGGTGTTGCAGAAAGAAGAAACCGAACATTATTAGACATAGTGTGGAGTATGCTTAGCAACTCCAATCTTCCTAAGTTCTTGTGGACTGAAACACTAAAGACGGTTGTGTATATATTAAACCGAGTTCCAACCAAGGCTGTCCAAAGGATACTATTTGAATTATGGAAAGGTTGGAAACCGAGTTTGCGACATATGCACGTTTGGGGATGTCCGTCTGAAGTCAGGATATATAATCCATAAGAGAAGAAATTGGACCCGAGTACTATTAGTGGGTATTTCATTGGATATGCTGAAAAGTTCAAAGGTTACAAATTCTACTGTCCATCTCACACAACTAGGATTGTGGAATCAAGAAATGTTAAATTTCTTGAGGATGATGTGATTAGTGGGAGCGATCATTTCAGGAACATAGTTTTCGCACATGATCATATAGAATCTTAACCTTCCACATCAAATGATCAGCAATTCCTAGTGATTATGTTGTATATCTACAAGAATCTGATTATAATATTGGAGCCAAAAATGATCCTGAAACATTTTCACAAGCCATGAGTTGCAAAGAATCAAATTTGTGGTATGATGCTATGAAAGAAGAGATGAATTCCATGATGAGCAATGGAGTTTGGGATCTTGTAGAGTTGCTTAATGAAGCAAAGGCTATTGGTTGCAAATGTGTCTTTAAAACTAAGAAAGATTCGTTAGACAACATTGAGAGAAACAAGGCAAGGCTTGTTGCAAAGGGATTTACTCAAAAGGAGGGAATTAATTATATAGAGACGTTTTCTCTTGTATCTAAGAAATATTCTCTACGTATTATTTTGGCATTAGTTGCTTATTTTGACCTTGAGCTATAACAAATGGATGTGAAAACGGTATTTCTTAATGGAGATCTAGAGAAAGAGGTTTATATGAAACAACTTGAAGGTTTCTCCTCTAGTGTTGGTGAACACTTGGTTTGCAAGCTTAAGAAGTCTATATACGGTTTAAAACAAGCCTCTCGCCAATGGTATTTTAAATTCTATGAAGTGATTTCTTCATTTGGATTTGTTGAAAATCCCATGGATCAATGCATATACTAGAAGGTTAGTGGGAGTAAAATATGTTTCCTTGTTTTATACGTAGATGATATTTTACTTGCAACTAACGATAAGGGTTTGCTGCATGAGGTGAAACAATTCTTTTCTAAAAATTTTGACATGAAGGATATGGGTGAAGCATCTTATGTCATTGGCATTAAGATCCATAGAGATAGACCTCGAGACATTTTAGGTCTATCACAAGAAACCTATATTGATAAACTTTTAGAAAGATTTCAGATGAAGGATTGTTCACCAAGTGTTGCTCCCATTGTGAAAGGTCATAGGTTCAATTTGAACTAATACCCAAAGAACAACTTTGAAAGTGAATCAATAAAAAACATCCCATATGCTTCTGTCGTAGGAAGCCTTATGTATGCTCAAGTCTGTACTAGACCTGATATTGCATTTATTGTGGGGATGCTAGGTCGATATCAGAGTAATCCAGGTATGGACCACTAGAGAGCTGCAAAGAAAGTGATGAGGTATCTACAAGGAACCAAAGATTACATGCTTATGTATAGACATACAGACAATCTGGATGTGATTAGTTACTCAGATTTAGACTTCGCCGGTTGTGTTGATTCTCGTAAATCAACATCAGGATATATTTTTATGATGGCTGGTGGAGCTATTTCTTGGAGAAGCGCTAAGCAGACCTTGACTGCTACTTCTACCATGGAAGCTGAGTTTGTCTCCTGTTTTGAGGCTACTTCACATGGTGTATGACTTAAGAGTTTCATTTTTGGGCTTAGAATCATAGATTCTATTTCTAGGCCATTAAGAATTTTCTGTGATAATTCAGCTACTGTCTTTATGGCTAAAAATAATAAAAGCGGAAGTCGAAGTAAACACATTGACATTAAGTATTTAGCCATAAGAGAACGTGTAAAAGAAAAGAAAGTGATCATTGAGCATATTAGCACTGAATTGATGATTGCTGATCCTTTGACTAAAGGTATGCCACCTCTGAAATTCAAGAATCATGTAGAGAAAATAGGACTTGGTTCCACTTTGTAATGATATTGAAACTCTTATATATTGTGAAATTTTCTCATTCATGTGCATATTATTTTGAAAAAATATATTGTTACTGGACAAAGAATAAACATAAGGTTTATTTATTAAATAATATTACCACATTAAGATTAAGAAACTAAATACATCGTGATACATGGATGATAATACTCAGGACTTATCGCTATGATTCATGTATTTATTTCTTAAGAAAGTTGTTTGGGAAAGATTAATTTAAATTATTAAGATAAACGTATGGACCAAGTGGGAGAATATAACCGTTATTATTAAATATCTAATTTAATAATAATATAATTATTCTCATTAAGATTCATAATTCATTATCATGAATTTCTTTATTTATTATGATTTAAATAATTTTAGTTTTTTATTCTTTATACATGAAATCGTTATTATTAAATTAAATATTTAATATCATTAAAGTTCTTCATTATGATCCAAACGTTACAAATTTGAATTAATTCTTGAACGTTATGAATTGATGATGATAAATGTTCTTGATAGGAGAATATATATATATATATATATATATATATATATATATATATATATATGAGAATTTTGGTATTTGAGCTCAATCATCTCTTTGAAGCAAAAGAGTTT